TCATTTGCCAAGCTTCTGCCTATTGAAATACATTGGCTCCTGCAATAGCAGAATGCAACATTTTCCCTGAATTGAACCTTGCAAATCTCACAATCCACTCATTTGCACATGTCCCACCTGTGGGCATACCTTGGATCCTACATTAGTGCAATGAGAATATTGCTTTGCATTTGCATCCAATGACCAATTGCTCTCAGCCTTGCATCTTGCACAGTCCACTCATTTTGAAGGGTTCCATCTATCAGGATCCATCGAATGCCATGTTAGCAGGTTGAGACAGTCCATATCAACCTTGCATATTGTGCAGGCCACTCATTTGGAAGGGTTCTGTCTATCAGGATCCATGGAATGCTGTTTTCGCAGGCTGACATCTTTCTTTGCATCATTATCCTATTATTAGCCATTATCTTGTTTTGTAACTCTCAAGTGAATGCTGTAAATAGCATAGCCTGCTCATTCACCAGGTGTCCATCTATTCGGATTCATCAGCAGCCATATTAGCAGACTGAGACCATCCCACTATCTCATTTTTTAAGTTTCAAGTTAACTATTCTATGTCAAAAAGCCATGCATTTGCTAAGCTTCCACCTATTGGGATACATTAGCAGTTGTTGTAGTAGAATGAGATTATCCTTTGCAATTCTGTTGGCTGTCTAGCCATTATTGTCTTTTTCTCACTCTTAAATAAAGGTTGAATATGCAATGTGGCATGAGTGGTCAATTAAAATGGAAATACAAAATGACATTGTATGTACTGTGGAGGAGTAAAATGATAGATGGCCTTGTTCACCCTGCTGTCCTATCTGCCCTTGTCTCATCTGCCAGAGGCCCTAAGAGATCAATGAGATCGTCACCCAATGCTTGTCCATATACCAAAATATGCAGAGCCTCTAGCTCATGAGCCATCCTGTCCAGCATCTGCATGGTTTTGTCCTGTTGTATTTGGAAATCATACATTTGATCCTTGTAGTATTGGCAGTGGGCCTCAGCATCACAGAGTTGATGTTCCAAATCTTCGATTCACTCTTCAATTGTGTTGGACATTTGCAACACCTTGGTGATTGGGGCACAGATGGGTGATGGTGTGCTGGGAGTTGCAGCAGTTGTGAGTTGGACAGGTGCTGCTGTTGTTGATGGGTGGGTGCCTGCTTTGAATACAAGGGTTAACTGCAATAATTAGCATAAATGTAGATTGATTAAACATACCTGCTGCCATAGATCCCTCTACCTCCTGCGCAATGGATGGGCCAGCCTCAACAATCAAATCTGCTCATACAGCAGCTGGGATTGGGCAGGAATCCCTGTGTTTGAATGCAGGAATATGAATCTCTAAATAAAATTTGAGTCAGCATAAATACATGAAATTGTGAACATACTGAGTGAAGATCCCTCAGGGATTGTCTCTCCCTGGTTGGAGGGCCCAACCCCAGCATTGATGGCTTTGGAAGCCATTCAAAATGTGTTGCTTTGGGGGACGTTCCTTTGGACTTTGGGATTCTTGGGCCTCCATCATTGGGGACAGACTTCGAGCTTGCTTTTTTCCCCTGGCTCAGTGATGGATTCTGTCGAGTTGGAGAGGCAATCCTGCCTTTGGCATGGCTACATTGAATTTTGTCGACTGTCACATGGGAAGCAGGACTTCCCAGGGTTCTTGTAGCATCGGACCTTGTGTCTGTGGCATGAGTCACAGGAATGGGGGTTGGGAGAAGGTGTCCTTCTGGCAGCTACAGCAGCATGACCATATAGTCCATCCGACAGTGGACAAGGCTTGCATTTCGATTGGCCTTGAGCAGGAACATCTTCATCATCATCAGTTTCCACTGTTGCCTTCCTAGAGTGGGACTGATGTCTGGATTGATGGGACATTGTTTTCATGGCAGCATTGTGCTTCTGCCTGCCTCATGCTGGTTCTTCCTCATTGTCCTCCTTCTCTGGCACCTCATCTTCACCCTCATCGTCCACCTCCATCCTGTGCAAGCTATCCACTATCATTTGCTCCACCTCTGCCTTGGTCACTTTCCATTTTCCATTGTTGCTCATAGGCATTTCAGGTCTCTTGAGTGGGTGGTGTTGGTGTTGGCACAATGTGGGGCATAGGGAGGCCCAACTGGTGGTAGTCATATCAATGCTCAATGATGTTGAGCCACTTGTGGTTGGCAATGTCAGTTTTGGAAGGGGATAGGGCAGTCTTCCACTCAGGCCATGGGTGCTCAATTGAGCCAAGGTCTTCATGCCACTTTAAGAACATGTCAACACTGATGAGGGTCATCAGAATCTCATCTGTCCTAGCAATGAGGCCATGTACAGCATCCTGAATGCATCAGTTAGTGAAAAAAATGTGATGATGCTATGATGCACTAGTTCATCGTTTATCACCTTGATGGCACCTCTCCACTTCACAATCTTGTCTGCCTTTCCCAGCTTGCTGCTTTCTGCAATATCCTTGAAGTAAATTTGAAGGATGCAGTTGGCCACAGCATCAAGCTCAGGCAATTTCTTGAAGAGCTTGCAAGATGATGATGACAACATGTTTCTGATGACTGAGATGATGGAGTAGTTTGACGATGAGAGTGGCAATGGTGATTGGAGAGTGGAAGAGTCAGAGGTTAAAGACAGACAATGAGATATGTGGATATCACATTTTTTATCCCACCTATGAATGATTCCCATGGCATGATGGCAATACCAGTACTACAAGTCAATAATCCTGAATGCATATATGAAGCAGAAGCTCAGATAAAAATATGATGTGTTGTTCTGCAATAGCATTGCTGTTTGTTTTGTGTGTTTCCCATCTGCTCCAATGGCGGAGCCTGGCTCGCAGCTACATAGACCAGCACCTGAGATTCCAACTAAATAGGCAAATCGTCCAATGTGAAACACAATTTATAGTGGGAAATTCAGATACTCAATAGTGTGAGAGGTTCCACTTTCTTCATTTCTTGTCTTCCTGGGCCCATCTTGTATTGTGACAGGGGGATAACCCAATTATGGATAGGCCCGTCCATTTGTGGTGAGCTATCTATGATATGACAGATTGGCCCATCTTATGCAGTGCCAAGGGTTTGTAATCCTGCAATGGATGGATCGGTCCATCTTATGTTGTAACACTGGTTTTTGTTTTCCCTTATCTGCTGCCTGAGAATACCATGGATGGGCCTGTCCTTATGTTGTGATGCTATTAGATGGTATTACTGACAGGCCCATCCATATGTTGCAACAATAGAAACAATACTACTGAAGGGCCCATCCTTATGTTGTGACACTATTAAACAGCATTACTGATGGGCCTGTCTTTATGTTTTGACAGGGTACATCTTACTGGGGCCAGGCCTGCCCATATGTTGTGATGCTATACATGAGATTACTGACAGGCCTGTCTTTATGTTGTGACAATATCAATAATATTACTGAAGGGCCCATCCATATGTTGCGACTCTATTAAATGATATTAGTGATGGGCCTGTCTTTATGTTTCAACAGGGTACATCTTGCTGGGGCTAGGCCTGCCCATATGTTGTGATGCTATGCATGAGATTACTGACAGGCCCATCTCTATGTTGTGACAATATAAATAATATTACTGAAGGGCCCATCCATATGTTGCAACTCTATTAAATGATATTAGTGACAGGCCTGTCTTCATGTTTTGACAGGGTACATCTTACTGGGGCCAGGCCTGCCCATATGTTGTGACAATATAAATAATACTACTGAAGGGCCCATCCATATGTTGCAACTCTATTAAATGATATTAGTGATGGGCCTGTCTTTATGTTTTGACAGGGTACATCTTACTGGGGCTGTGCCTGCCCATATGTTGTGATGATATAAATAATACTACTGAAGGGCCCACCCATATGTTGTGATGCTATACATGAGATTACTGACAGGCCCATCTTTATGTCTCATCAGAGGTACATCTTACTGTGGATGGGCCCATCCATATGTTGCATAATACTACTGATGGGCCCGACCTTATGTTGTGACTCTATTAAATGATACTAGTGACAGGCCCATCTTTATGTTTCAACAGCAGTACATCTTACTGTCAACAGGCCTGTCTATATGTTGTGACATTATGAAACAACATTACTGGCATGCCCATCTTTATGTTGCGACAGGGGTACAGCTTATTATGAACAGGCCTGTCTAGATGTTGCAACACCATAAATGATATTACTCCCAGGCCTGTCCATATGTTGCCAACTTTGTATTCTAATCATAGATGGGCCCATCCTTATGTTGTGACCCTCTCCATGTTATGATAGGCAGGCCTGCCTTGATGTTGTAACAGGGGGGTAACCTACCAGGATGGGCCTGTCCATGTCTTACAGCAACTCAGTATACTTAATTGGTCATGGGCCCATCTAAATGTTTCAACATCCTTACCCACTGCAGGCCCTCCCATATGTTGTGGTAATGCACTTACAGGCCTGTACATGTGTTGCTCTCACTTTAGTCCCTTGGGCCTGTCCATGTGTACTGGCTAATCTATTTAGGTGGGCCCATCTTGGGGTCTATATGAGCATTGGTGTTTTGGCACACAGGCTGCCCATGTGTTGTGACTAAATGTGACTACACTATGTGGTGTGTGTGATTGAGGTTATAAATGGACATGAGTGACTGTGTGTGTGAATGGGATGTGATTGGGTAGTATATGAGAAATACACTCTGTAGCAATCTGAACAACATCCTAATTTGCACTGAAGTGATAATCACATAACATGGAATTGGCCTGCCTGACCATCTAGAGTATGCCCCACTGTCCAAGTTGCGGTAAAGGTGGCTTCCAGAGTCACAGCACTGTTGCAATGCACATGAGCCAGCCATCCTCTGGGTGCAATACCTGGGTCAATAACTTAGTCTGCCTTCACAAGTCTCTCCAACCTTCGAGCTTGAACATTTGTAACTCTCAACACCCAACACACTTAGAAGATGTCCCAATGAGCACCAACCCTGATGACTATGCAACTCACGATTACCCAGATTTTGTTCATATGGCATTTGACACATGGGGGCCAACCACAGATGACTTCAAGGGCACAGCTAAAATGTTTGGACTTGGCCCAACATTTATAGACAAATTTAACAGTGACCAGTTCAGCAACCTATGGGCATCAAATCTGTACTACCCCTTCAACTCCCACAATGAATGGGAGCTGGCATCATGGTTACTTCGTTCAGGCCTGAGCATGAGAGCTATAGACTCTTTCTTGTCATTTTCAATTGTATGCCTGTCCCTATTCTCTCCAAAGATCATTATTGACATGCACCAGATACAGCTACTAAATATTTCCTTTTGTACAGCCAGAGCACTTTGTGGGCTGGCTGAGTTACTCCCTGGTGGGCTGTGCTGGCGCTCAATGGAGATTACTCCTTCACAGCCAACCAAACACCCTGTGCACTTGTACTGGCATGGTCCCCTGGAATGCATTGCATGGCTCCTCAACCACCCTTTGTTCTCTGACCAGCTCAATTTTGTTCTGAGGCATGTATACAATATGCCTGAGAAGCTTTGTAGGGTGTATACAGAGTGGATGACTGCTGATGATGCTTGGTGTATGCAGGTATGTTTCCACTGTGAGTTATAGATCCTTTTATTCAATTGTTGTACCCCAGTCACAGCTTCCATGCAGAGCGACTCTTCTTGGCACAATACTTTCTTCAGACAAGATGAATATTACTACTTTATGTGGTGGCAGAGTTGCTCATCCACTTCTCATCAGCCTAGCAAATATCAAGATGTCCACACACCTAAAATTGTCATCCAACTCATTTATGCTCACCACTCTCCTCCCCATCCCCAAGTTTGTGCACAAGAACAAGCATATGTGTGGCCTCCTTGAAGATAGGCTCATTCATGAATGCCTGGATATTGTACTTGAACCCGTCAAGCAAGCTGCCAAACTCAGCATTATGTTACTGGATTCTCTGGGGCACATGTGGTACTGTTTCATGCCAATCATGGGTTATATTGCTGACACTCCCAAGGCTGCCATGCTTGCAGCTGTTGGGGGAAAGACTTCCCCAATCACCATGGTGATGTACAAACAGTTTGGAGACCCATTCCGACATGAGCCATGAACTGCATCCACCACTTTGGCTCAGCATGCAGTGGTGAAATTGAAGGTCCACCCTACAAACATCCAAGTCTTCTTTCGTGAAGCACAGTGCTTTTGCCTCAGCAGAGTTAGTGACCCATTTTGGAGGGACATTCTGCTTTCTTGTCCAAGCACTTTTATAACTCCAGAGCCCCTTCACCACCTGCACAAGGAATTTTGGGACCATGACATGAAGTGGTGCATAAATGCAGTTGGTGAAGCCAAAATCGACTTTTGCTTCTCAGTTTTACAGCCTACTGTGGGGTTCCATCACTTTAAAGGTGGTGTTGCTAAGCTGAAGCAGGTGACTGGACATGTGCACCATGATGTCCAATGTTACATTGTCAGTGTTATCACTGGAGCAGCCCCTCCCAAAATTATTACTGCTATTCATGTGCTTATGGACTTCTGATACTGAGTCCAAGCTTACTGCATTGACGATGACAATCTTTGTATAATATCTTCTGTACTGGATGAGTTTCATGTGCACAAGCAGTCAATACTTGATCACAGTGCATGATGCAGTAAGGGAAACAAGCCCATCGACAATTGGCACATCCCCAAGTTAGAACTCATGCAGAGCATCATACCAAGTGTGAAGTGTGTCAGGGTCACCATCCAATGGACTGCCGATGTAACTGAACACACCCATGTATCAGAGATCAAGACACCTGCATCAACTAGCAATAACAATAACTATGATCCTCAAATTTGCCAGTACCTTGATTGCACTGAAAAATGTAGGATGTTTGAACTTGTGACATCATTATATGAATCAAAGACTCACTCCCATGGTCGTGTGGAAGAAAAGTCCTTGGAGGTTGAGGATGGGAGTTCTGATGATGGCAACAGTGAGATCAGTGATCACGAGGAGGTGGATCTAGTTTCCAAGACACCAGGTCCCACATGGCCTGTCACCGATTACTTCGCCATCTCTGCATGCCTCAGGACCCAGGATCCAGACTCCATTCCCTTCCCCTTGTGTAGTTTTATCACAGATGGTATGGCGATCAACCTTTCCTACGACCCACCCTTGCAACACATTAGTGTTGATGGTGCTGCTGAGAAGTTTGGACTACTTGACCTCCAAGCCACCCTTGTCAATTTTCTAAATCATGAGAAGGTGTATGGACCAAGCTCTGTGCACACTATAAGCAGGCAATGTCAGGGATCAAGCTTTTCAACCCTGCCTTTTACTGATCTGCAGGTTTGGTACAAGATGCAGCTGCAGAACATGGTGATACATGATATCACAGACATCCTCCCTGCCCAGACTCTCTTCTGTTCTCCACCTTGTGAGACCTGGACCCTTGGCCACTATGATGCAGCTATCATCAATGTGGACCCAGTTTCAAATGGCCAGAGAGTGGCCTGAAAGGTTTGTGGTCCACACTACTTTTCCATGTCACTCACAAGAGTATCTTAGGTCATGTTGTTGGCCAGCTCCATCTCCTGATGCACCCTTTTGGCAAGAGGGGGGTAAGATGGTCATGGACAGACTGTTTTTTGGTCTATGTACAACATTTTGACATAGCAGCTGAAGATGCAACACACCTACATATCCTTAGGCTCACAAAGAGAGCGAATGGCCAATGTCTTGGCGATGTCATCCCACTCAGTCAGGTCTGGGTGTTCACACATCTCATACCTCACTTTGGGCAAACTGCAGATAATCAATTGACAGCATACAACTCCTTCAAGCATTCTACCAATGCCCACTTTGCCATCTGATCCTGAGAGAGACATTGGCAGCGTGGACACCAACAATGGTGCACTCCTCACTGATAGTGGTGGTACTTACCTGCTTGCACAACTTGTTGAGGATTCAACTGCACTGTGTCCCACTAACCCTGCTGATCTGTTACATGACCAATGCTGCACATACAACATCATCGACTGGCACTTGGAGCAGTTCTTGACAGGATGTAATCCAGATCAACTGCATATGGTCATACCTGGGGAGGGTGGTGTTGGTAAATCTAAAACAATTCAAACCATCACTGAGAACTTCATGCAATGAGGGGTCACAGGGATGCTGGTTAAGGCTGCCTACACAGGCATTGCAGTGTCTGTCATTGATGGCAAGACATTGCACTTCATAGGTTGGTTGTGTTTTCATCTGCACTATATTACTCTCTGCTGAGCATGACTTTGTCTCATTAGGCATGGTCCTGCTCAATGGCAGAAGACAATCAGCACAGACTCTGAAGGCGTTGGAGTCATATTGCCGAGACAAACACTATCTGATCATCAACAAAATCTCCATGGTTTTGTGGGAGTTCCTTGTCAAGCTTTCGAACATCGTCTGTTGTGCTAGGTCTGCCTGTACAGGCTCTGCATCTGAGGAGCCATTTGGTGGGTTGAATGTCATCCTTGTTGGAGATTTCCATCAATTTCCTCTGGTGGCCTCAAAAGCATCTGCTCCTCTATACTGGCCTTGCAATCTTACTAAGGACACAGAGGATCAGGTGATCAGATGTCAGATCTTTGAACAGTTTGATATCATCATATGGATCAAGACTCAAGTGCAGGTAACTGATGCCAGTTGGATGGATCTGTTGCATCATGTGCATCATGGTAACTGCAGAGAGGATCACTTGTCTATGCTTTGGGGGCTCATGCTCACTGACCCTCATTGTCTGCCTACTGATTTCTTGCAGGCACCATGGAGAGATGCTGTACTGGTCACACCATGCCATGCTGTGCATATGTGTTGGAATTCAATGTGCACCCTATCTCGTTCAGGGGACTGCAGGACCTATCTTATCATTTTCCCTGCTTGGGATTCCATCGCCAGGTGTCCGCTGACATTACCTGAGAAATTTGCTGTGGCTTCTAAACCAAAGACAGGGCATGCATGCAACAGACAGGAATGTGCTGGGCTGTCTGACAAGATCGAGCTTGCCATTGGAATGGGGGTGATGGTCACCTTTAACATCTCAACTGACCTAGACATGGTGAATGGTGTGCAAGGTCATATTGTGGACATTGTCCTCAACCCCAGAGAAAGTGTGCAGCCTTCCCCATCTCATCAAATCATGTTGCAGTATCCACCTGCCTTTGTCCTCTTGGAGATGAAGTGCACTAAGGCAGAGCCTCTCCCTGGTCTGCTGATGGGTGTGCTGCCCAGTCATGCCTCTTTCAAGAACATTCACCATCACAATTACTTCAGGCTGCAAGTGTACTGTGTTGGAGTCTATCACTTTTACCTTAGTTGTGGTTCACTGAGCACAGCATTACATAATCCAAAAGCGGACACTTAGCAGTTTATTTTTTCCTTACTGCATCTCAGCTTCAACCAACTTGAAGTCTGAGTATATTCCTCTCCATAGACTTGACAATCCTGCAGCTCATCATCCTCCAAAAGGTTATGAGCCCTGCTTGCAAGTTCTAATCCTAGGAAAGTTGAACACGTCAAGTCTGGTACAAAGTGTCTACTATGTCTGGTCTGTCAGCATCCACTTCTGGTCCCTCAAAGGTCCCAGTCTCCACCTCAACAGTAACCTCTACTACACCTTCAGGTAAAGCTACTCAAGCCTCCAGTCAACTCTATGACATACCATCCCTTGAAGACAATGGTTCAAACTTCCAGACATGGAAGTACCAAATAATGATGATCCTAGATGTCCATGGACTTTGGGAGCTCATAGAAGGAAAGTTGAAGGCACCTGATGCAGCAGCTGATCTAGTTGCATGCACAGACTGGCACTACAAGGATAAAGAAGCAAGGGCTCAAATCACACTTACTCTAAAGGACGACCCACTTAGTGGTGTTCTGCATGCCATGATGGCAACAGAAGTCTGGAAAAAGCTATGTGAGCGCTATGAAGGCAAAGGGAAACAAACGATAGCCTACCTTATTGGAGAACTATTTCATGGTACCCTAGCAGATGACGTCTCAATGGAGACACAGCTTAATGCCATGTGGCAGAAGGCAACAATCCTAAAGTCTCTTGGACAGCCCCTTGAAGACTCTCTTGTTGCCATAGCCATGGTCATCTCCCTTCCAACCTCATACTCAACTCTTTGCACTATACTCATGTCATCTGATGAGAAACTAACTCTGGACTCTGTCATTTCCCAAGTCTTGATAGAGGAGAAGTCTCACCACACCTCTTCAGCACAAACTGCCCTCGTAACAAAGATGCCTAACAAAAAGGGAAAGAGGAATGACAAGAAAAAGAAAAAGGCTTGTGGCTATTGCAAGAAGATGAACCATGTCGAAGATGACTGCTACAAGAAGAAGGCTGATGAGGCAGCCAAGTCCCTGTCACAGGCTGAAAAGGATAAGCCTAAGGAGGACAAACTTGTTGCTAAAGTCATGTGCATCTCACCTGCTGAAGACAGCACCCTACAGCTCTTCATGGCCACTGACAATGGCGAGAATCTACACATGCACTGGGTCATTGACTCCAGGTGCCTCTGTGAATATGTGCTGTCAGCAGAAATGGTTCACTTCGCTAAAGATGCTCTCACCCCTGCAGCCTGTAGTCATTGGAAATGGGAGCACAATTCCTGCTACCACCATTGGATGGATCAAACTTTGTATGGATCTTCCAAATGGGAAGACCAGTAGAATCCTACTACAGAAGGTCTATTTTGTTCCAGATCTCAGTGCAAACCTCCTCTTGGTGGCATACCTTGCCACTAGAAATGTCCAGGTCACCTTCACAGGTGGAACATGCTCAATCACCTGACAGTACAGACACTGTAGGTGTGGGTCATCGTCAAGGCTCACTCTACATCCTTGCAGCAAGGACTCACTCTCTGAGTCATGGAGCACTTGTCATACAAGGACCATCTCCACTACTTGACCCTACCCTTACTTTCCCAGCACTTGCAGCTGCAGCACCAAAGTCTGTAGCCACACTTGACTTGTGGCATTGATGACTTGGGCATGCAAATACAAAATCTGTGCTTAAACTGGTTAAAGCAGGAATGGTTGAAGGCATGGAGCTTACTGGCACTGAGCACTTGAACTCAGTATGCCAACCTTGCCTTGAAGGGAAGCAACACCATAAGGTGATACCCATCAGGTCAAACATTGAAAGCCCAACAGTACTCTACCAGACATACTCTGATGTATGTGGCCCCATGGAGACTACAGCCCAAACTGGACACTGCTACTTTGTAACCTTCATTGATGCTCACTCACACCACCTTGTGGTTAAACTAATGAAATCCAAGGATGAAGTCTTCCCCTCAGTGAAAGACTACCTCGCTCAAGCTGAAGTTGAGACTGGTGAAAAAGCAAATTATTTTCGGAGTGACAGAGGCAGGGAGTATGGCTCAGATGAGTTCAAGGCCTACCTCAAGTCAAAAGGGGTCCACCACTGAGAAGACAAATGCCTATACCCCACAGGAGAATGGCATTGCCAAGCAGATGAACTGCACACTTGTTGAAAGTGTGTGGGCGATGCTAAAAGACACTGGACTGCCAAATAAATACTGGGGGGATGCTATCCAGTATGCAGCCTACCTAATCAACTGATCACTGACCTGTGCTATCTCCAAGGATGTCACACCACATGAAGCCTTTACAGGGATTAAGCCATTGCTGGCCCATATCTGAACCTTTGGCTGCACTGCACACATACATATACCTGAGGAAAAAAGGAAGAAGCTAGATGCAAAGTCCTTAAAATGCATTCATCTGGGCTTTGCAGAGAACAAGAAAGCATACCTATGCTTACACCAGCCCACTGGTCATGTCTTTGAATTCCAGGATGTAGTATTTGATGAGGGAAGCACAGCAGCAGGCCTAGATCATGTCCAGATAGAAGAAGATCCTGCAGGCATGGTTGGTAAACCAGCAGACATAAGAGGGAATGCCCAAAAGGGCAATATGTTGCACCTGGATACCATCAGGGCTTCAGGCATGGAAGGCTGTGCTCACATGGAGTCTGATGATGGGGATCTTGAGTCTAGTGAGGGAGAGAGTGAAGATGTTGTCCATGAGGTTGAAATTGAGTCAAATGACACACCTGATCACTCAGGATCAATGGTAGATCATTCCCCACAGCACTCAGAGGGTAACATGCCAGGCAGCAGCCAGAGTCCTAACAAAGCGCTTGAAATGGCCTCAAAACCATCAGTAAAGTGAGCTAGGATGATGCCAAAACCTACCATGCATAAAGCAACACCCCTGCAGCCCTATCCAACTCCAATTCTGCCTCGAGAGACCTGCAGGTCCACCAGAACATGAAAAGCGCCACCTAGAGATGATGATTATCACTTTTTCATCAATTCCTATGACAGGACAACCTTACCTAGTCAACAGCTTGCAGTGCCAGAGGGCTCAGGTGCAGAGAGTGAGGGTGGAAGCCCCATCGACGAAGTCACTTGAGAGCAAGAGCATGTGTGTGGCAACAGTGAGGCTGAGGTGGCTGAGATGAATGAGGAAGTGGCTTACAGAGCATCCACAACACATGACAACAAACCTCGCTTGTTCAACAATGCAATGCAATGCACCGATGCAGATCAGTGGTATGCTGCGAATGATTGACAAATTACAGACCTTTAAGTCCATCAGACTGTATGAGGAAGTTGCCCTGCCTCCTGGCTGTAAACTGATTGACTCAAAATGGGTCTACAAGATCAAGCGAGGGCCAACTGGTGAAATTGAGAAGTACAAGGCTCATTTGGTAGCCAAAGGCTTTACACAGGTACACGGGATCAACTACATGGAGATGTTTGCACCTGTCACCAAGTTCACAACCATCCACATACTC